AAATCATCAGTGAAAGGACTGATAAAATCATCATAAAATCATCAGTGAAAGGACTGATATGTGAAATCAGTGAAAGGACTGATAAAATCATCAGTGAAAGGACTGATATGTGAAATCAGTGAAAGGACTGATAAAATCATCAGTGGAAGAACTGATGTGCATGCTAGTGAAAGGATTGGTGCATGATATTAGTGAAAGGACTAATATCTAATTAAAAGTTTAGGTAAGGATTGTATTATCAGTGTAAAGACTGATAGGGTCATCGGTGAAAGGACTGATGGTCTATTACAAATGTAGTTGGTATTATCAGTGGAAGGACTGATGCACTGATGTTTCAATGGAATGGTATCATCAGTGACAAAACTGATGTACAATTAAATAGGATAGGATATTATCAGTGAGAAGGCTGATGTACTAAAGCACATGTGGACAGTAATATTAGAAAAATGGCTAATATTAGATCGAAAACTTAGAAAGGGTTCAAAGTTGTAATGAAAAGACTAGTTCACGAAATAGAAAATTTTGTGAGATTTATTATAAACAGCCTTGTAATGATAATGGATCATTGAGAAAATAGTCTGTAAAAGATTGTGTGCCTAACGAAAGGGTTAGCACACAATATGGAGATTGGTGATGATCTTAGGATTGTCTTAAAGATGAGGAGTTTGAAAGTAACATTATTAAAATTGAATAAATGTTGATGAGGTAAGACCATGATGTTTTATGGTTTCATACCAGAACGAAGGATATAGACCTGGTAGGGATAAAATAACTAGGCTTGAGGAGATCGAGCACTACTTATAAGCTCAAAGGCTTGCACCTAATGGCAACGTGTGTATAAGTATAGAGATAAAACCATTTTGATGGTCGAGATGCAGTGGGAAGGCAGAAGGCCTGACCTGTCCAGTTGGTAACGGGGAGAACGAGTTCTCTAGCGGAAGCCCAAGTTCAGGAATAGGTATGTTCCTGATTTTGCGGACAAAATCGCTAAAAGGTGGGGTGAATATAATATCCCTAACCTAATTAATTAGTAAATTACAAGTAATTAAATAATTAAGCATGTTTTAGTGAGTAAAATTAAGTATAAGGCTTAATGAAATGAATCTGAGTCACTTTGGAGTTAAAAAGTGTACTCAGTGAAAATTAAGGAGTATAAATGGGTACTGGCAAAAGTGCCCAAAATATAAAAATAAAGTTGTAAATATTCCTAGAATAATATTCCAGACTTTTGGGTAAAGTTTGGTAATTAATGGAGTTGAATAGATAGACGAACCAATACCCGCTTAAAGCCACTTAACATAAGTTAAGTGACCAAAGCAACAAAAGAAACCCAATTGTCCCTCCCATTCCCGTCGCCAGAAAGAAGAAGAAGGAAGAGAAGAAGAGGGAGGAAAGGAAGAGAGGAAGAGAAACCCTAGGGGGAGCTAATCTCAACCATTTTGAGTGATTCCAAAGCCTAAACCACTCCAAATCTCCTCCTCTTTCATAATCCTTGCTTTGTTTTGAGTGGGGAGCATTGTGGAGAGGGATATTGGCTCTCAAAAATTCAGCCCTTTGGTGAAATTTGAGGTTTTGAGTGCTTCAACCTCCATTGAAGCTTGAGGAGCCATCAATCCTTGGTTGTGTGACCATTGGTGGTAAGATTCTAACCCTTGAACCATGTTTTCTTGGAAATTTCATGATATAGGGTTTTGAATGAATAGTGTTATGGGTTTTGTGAGAATTTGAGTAAATTGGCTATGTTGTGGTAGAATTGAGACTTAGCACATGTTGAGAAAAATGCTAGGAATGTCATTTAATCGGTAAAAATGAGCCTAGTTAGTTAAATGACTATACTTGGTATATTGCAAGATTATCATGCTTGTTGAAGAGTTTTCTTGCAATTATGACCAATGGGTTGGCTTGGTTGATTGATGATTAGATCCTTGTGATGTCTAGGATTGAGACATTTGGACCAACCGTGAGTGATCAACCATTGGAGCAAGCTATGGAGCTTGATTAGCTCCATTGGATAGGTGAGTTCATGCTTATGTTTGGTATGAATTGTATAGCTTGGATGATAGCTATGTGATGTTATTGGATGCAATATATGTTAATTGCATTAAACCTTGTGTAGGTTTTGTTTGAGAAGTGGAGTATTTTAATTGATTGACTGTGGAAACTGTTGGTGGTGAACAAAGGTCGAATTGAAGCTGAGGTAAGCCTTCGGACCTTGGGTGTAATTCCCTTGACTGTTCTACCAAGCCCTGAAAGGGTGGAGGTTGTGATTGTGTATATAAATGCAATAAAATAGTGTAATGCTTTGTTATACGTATGTGTATGCATTTGGTGTGGCATAGGATGGTGTTTCCCTATGTTGGTATGTTGCATGACGATGCGTAAATCATACTTGGTAGTTAGCTGGCCAGTAGGACTATTTGCATCTGAGTTTCCTTAGGACAGCTTGAGAGCTCGAGGGATTTCTCCTGGAGATGTATTGCACTTCGCATAGATATGTATTTACTGCATTATTATTGTTATTGCTATTACACTGATATGGAACTGTGGGGTGGAGAGATGCTCCAAGGACCCCTGGTTTACTGGATATATTCGTATATCTCACCCCGTGTTGTGGGGACCCCCTTTCAGGTAAGGATGCTGCAGGAGCCTCTGATGGCAAGTGGCCTTATTTGCAGTAGATCATGCATGAAGAAAATGATGTTTTGAGATCATACATGTTGTTTTGTAGATTTACATGTATAGGATTGATCATTGATAGCATTGACGTATGTATATCTCGTTATATTTGATGGACTTAGCCTATGATCATGCCATTGTATATCTCTTTGGTTGATGAGAGCCAAGAGATGATCATAGCCTTTTGTAGCTAAGTCCCCCGTTATGTAATTAAACTTGTATCAATGCTATTTACTTCCAGGATATGAATGCATGATGAATATTGGATTGTTGAGCTGGAAATTATATTAGGTACCTAGTGCTAAATTGGAAAATGTTGAGAAAACAAATACATCCCGTCCGGTTGACCAATTTTCATACCCAAGGTGATGGAATTGGACTTTGATGTCTCTATGGAAGTTGTATACATTTCTCTTAGCTTTCCATAGGGACCAAAATGGTGTAATTTGAGTGAGTATAGCTCAAGTTATGAGTGGAAAACTATAGGTAGGTTAAATGACCTTGTTTTGGGTCACCCAGCCCTGTGGATGGCGCTTGGGGCGCCAGATTCACGCTTGGGGCGCCAAATTACGAGATCAGACAGTAGCATCCACGCTTGGGGCGCCAGATTCACGCTTGGGGCATCAACTTTCTGTTTTCCCACGCTCTGGGCGTGGATCTCACGCTACGGGCGCGGGGGTTCTGGAGGTTTCGCACCCTTTTCTTAGAAAATGCATAACTTTGGCTACGGTGCTCCGATTTGAGCGCGGTTTGAACCCACGCGTAGCTAATGAAAAATACTATAACATAGTAGAAAATGGGAATCATAAAAGGAGTTTAGAATTAATTGATAATTAAAGTGATGAAGACATTTAACGACGTACTGTCAAGTAGAATGGGAATATAATATTAAGTTTTGTCCCACTATTCCGCGAAGTATATATAGTTATGATCACGCACCTGGTTATTTAAATCCGGCTTGTTTAAAAAGGAAAAATTTATCCAGTTTTCTAATTGAACCAATGTGATTGTAACTGCGCTTAATGCCGTACGCAATGATAACAATCCGGTTCTAGAACGGGGTGTTACAGCCCGCCTATGCCCGTCATCAACCCGTCAAAAAATGAGCCCGCCCCGCCCTGTTTAGCCGATGGGGCGGGTTGGCCCGCCGAGCCGAGCCCATTTTGCCGGCTCTATGTCCCGTGTCCTATGTAGCACCGATACTGACACGGGACACGTGACACGATACGACATGACACTCCGATGCGTTAATTCAAAAAAATGTTAGATTTCGACACGTTAGGACACGTTTTGATATTAAATAATATTTTTAATTTATGTAGTGTGGAAATATTACTCTCCTTTCACATAAGATATCTTCTCTCATGTTCTCTCACTTCGATTTACGTACCCCATCTTTTTCTTTTTTTCCTTTTTTATTGTAATGGTGGGACCCACCTATTTTCTCTCTACAACATAAGATAATTATCTTATGTTAAATGAGACTAATAAAACCCATATTATATTTAATATTCAATAATTTAATAAAAAAATGAAACTAAACTTATAATATTCATCAATTTTGTAAAGAAAAATAAGATATTCGAAATATTTATATTAAACTCAATAAAATGGTAATCGTAATCCAACGAATCTAATAGTTGGAACTAAAAACTTAACACAACGAAACCTTTGAACCTTTTTTTGAATTTCTATAACGCGTGTTGAAGTGTCGGAGAGTGTCGGAGTGTCGAGAAGTGTCGGACACGACACGTCATAATTTTTGAAGTGTCGGTGCTTCATAACCCGTGTCCGTGCATCATAGACTTTGAGAACACAAACTCTCAGTGGCTGTTTGCATTCATATATTTTTTAGTTGATTCATGTATATTTTTATTCCCATATTTAACTTTCCTAATCAATGGTCCAATCCATCCATTCCTCTACGGAAGAACTTGACCTAATAAATAGAAATATCAGAGACTTACATTGCTCATACCTGATATCAAAAGTTTAACAATCGATTGGGAATCTGTTTCAGAGACTATGTAAGAAAATGTTGTGAAATTGTTTTATTACGGAATTTGAACTTGGGTAAAAAATACACCTGATGGAATAAGATATAGAGTAAAACCACTAAAAGATATTTCTATTATCAATTTAGTTCTTTCAATTGTAAATTGTCAATAATTTAGTTCTTGTAATAGATAAAAAAACATTTTGCAAGAGAAGAAAAAAAAAAAAAAAAAAAAACTTGCACAGAATTTTTAATCATCCCAGCACTGCACACACTAGCACAGAGCAACATGTAATGAAATTTGCTATGGGGAACGAGGATGGGCAGTAAACCAAACATGAAATTTTCTTTTCATCATATCTTTCAATCCAAATTTTTACATTTATTACAACAGAGAGAAACTTTACACCTTCAACATTTTTATTACATCTTGAACAAATTGTTTTGTTGTTTCATCATGATTCATCAGTATAATCAATCTGCCTGTACTGTGTTTGAATTGGATAATGCCTTTCATAACCATAGACAAGGTCTCCACCATAGCTACTCCCATTTTCCCCTCTCCTCCCGTATGGATATGGATTCCCAAAGAGATAATCTGCAGTCCCTTCCCACATGTTCTCCTGGCAATTGTTACCTCTATCAGTGACTTCCTCACAAAAATTTTCTCTCTTCTTCATACGTGACAAACAAGGCCAATGCCCAAACAAGCTTTCACAAATGTCCATAGCTTCCAATCCATATCCACTAGGATATTGAGGATGCACTTGCTTCTCATGCTCCTCACACTGTCCTCCATTGTACCCATTATCAAATCCACTTCCATAACCAGATCCAGAATACTGATCATCCTCACGGTGATCTTCCTCACTGTCTTCACCTTCATAAGGCTTCAGATCACGAGTGTCATAGCTGTTGTCTTCCACTTCATTTGGTTGATCTATGCTACTCTCTTGTGACTGGGGCTTTTCTTCAGTAGTTTGGCCTGCAGTTCCATTCTGGGGTATGATTTCTTTCTCATCAATTCCCTCTTCCACAGTAGGTAATGGTATTAGGGACCCAGTAGGAACGGCATCAAAGGGGACACTAATTGAGCTTGACCCAGAATGAGGATAGCAAATTTTATCTGATGGTGGTAGAGGTTTGCCATAGGTCTCAGCAATGTCATACCCACCACCATAAGGTGTTGGGTCATAATCATCAAATGCAGGCTCATTGAATTCCAAGGTAGAGTAAGAGATCACAAGCTGAGTCATACCATAATTGGGATCATACTCAATTGATTTTGGGTTACTAAAAGTAGCGGCAGAGTATGCCACGGTTTGGTAACTCTGAGCAGGGTAATTAGGAGAAAAATACAAACTTGGATCATACCCATAATATGGTTGATTGTACTCATGACTCTTGTAAGCCATAAAGGCTGGAATTTGATCATGATCATAATCATAATTGACAGCATAAGAGTTGAAATTGTACTCACCATAATCAGACCCAGAATAGGTAGAGCTGTAATAGGCCATGCTTCATCAGAGACTGAAGATGGAACCTTCAAAAGAGGTTACTTCAACAGCAACTATGAAACGGGTTCAGGATCAAGTTTCTTGGGAAAAAGAAGGGACATGACCATCCACTATCTTCTACTTCTACCTATAATATCTGTTCGGTGGTGATCAAGAATGCTTTTTTCCTTTACATTTAATGTTATTTCAGTTCACCGTTAGTCTCCCCCACCAACCTCAGAATTCTTATCTAAACTAAAATGCCCACATGCAACTATGCAAGGAAAGAGTAAAGTTTACTTTATGAAATATTAACAATAAGACAATAGTTGGTGGTGCCACGCAACGCTACTGAGGCAGAACCCATTATCTACCATGTGTCAAATGTCAACACTCACTATCCCTAAGCAGTCTAAGCATGCCAAGGTTTCTCTTTCCTGCCGCTTTCAGAAGGAAGGATAAAAATATTTTCGGGAACAAGAAATAAGAAAATAAAAGCCTAAAATAATACTAACTAGTACATACCAAGTCTCAGCAATGAAGTCATTGTAAGTCATCCACTGTTTTTATGAGTGGCTTGCGCCCAATTTCATGAACCTGAACATATAACACAACCTAGTTAGGGTGAAACACTTAAGTTAATCATCGGCCCACAAGATTCGTCATTAAAAAAATGTGCAAATAGCATTACCAAGAAAAAGTAACGTGTTGAGTAGGAATTGTAGGACTTATGTGGCAGATATCAATTCTTACAGCACAGCAAGGGGCCAATCCATTATTGGCCTTTGCATATGTTCAGTTTGAAGTTTTTTTTTTTAATTAAAAAAAAATTCAGTTAGAACTTAGAACAATCATTTCAAAGCTGTATGATTGGAGACGTTAACCTTTCTACATCAACGATGGCTATTGGCGAGTGGATAGCCAAATAGCCATAGTAGTGTGACTGTGACCTAAAAAGAATCATTCATGCTAACTATGAAGAATTATTTTATTTCGATCATTTGTATAAAAGTTTTGATATTAAATAATCGAAGATATAAATAAATAGATATTACACATATAAAATATTATTTATATAATATTACATTAGTAATCATATCTACTTTTTCTAAGAGGATGCTTAAGCTTGAGAAAGACTATAAAGATTACGAGAAAAATATGAGGTGAGCGATACGTAAGTCCAAAAAAAACTATTAATCATACAGACTATTTAAGACTATTTTTAAGTAATCTTAAAGCATTCAAATCCTAACTTAAAAAATACTAGGTAAATTTACTTTGTCCAAAGGCTTCAATGGAAATCACAAAGTGTAGCTCTAGCCCAAATAGCAAATTACACTTTTATGAATGTTTTGACTTTGACATGGCTTCTGTATAAATCCTTTGCACGAAATAATAAAACGAAAATACAGCGCCTATACCGTCTTTTGGCAACAAGATCCAACTAAGAAGCAGATTCAAATCGTGGTCATCTAGTCCATCGTTTATTGGGTGAATATGTATTTACTTACTCGCGTGTACAGGAAGTATAATCAATTCGAGAGGATATTGATAAATCTTCAGAAATGCAATAAAATACTTTCAAAACGGCAGGTAGCATCTCGACCAGTCAATTCAATTCTTTTTAACGAATAATTAAAATAACACTGTTAATTATATGTCCAAAAGGTTGGCCTATGATCATCTCGACAAGAAAATACATATATAGATTACACATACATTTTTTGTGGGTGGCCTATGATCATCTCAACCAAATATCTAAATGTTGCACCCTTTCCCAACAAATTTGTTCGCCTTCCCAAATTACTATGAAGAAAAAGTTCTACCGCTTTGTGGGGGGTAGGGGCGCGAGATGAAACACATCAAAACTGGGATTAAGGCAGCATGACTAACCTAAAGCTTCATTGATTGATTACTCAAAATAATGTCAAAAGGCTAAATATGCACATTATCTAAACGTAAATTATACATTTCTTATCATTCACTTTTCAGTGTTCAAACTGCAATGAAACTCGCAAAAAGACTTGTCACAAAAACACAAACAGGTTGAGTGATAAGCAAGTCCAAAATCTCATATTCCTCCAGATGAATCGTGAAAATACCCGTTTGAGTTTGCAAGAAACATTGTATGCATCTGATATGAATCCAATAAAAGCATAATCTTCTATTTGTTAAATGAGCACGCCCATGATAGATCTGTGATAAGTAGCTGCTTTCTTTTGGCATACATTGCTCACAGGAAAACAGAAAATCACCTGCAAGGCAGCAACAAAGGCAAAAACAATAAATAATGGCAGAGCTTGATAAGATATCATGAATAGCGTGCATACAGAAAATCTGATGAAATTCAAGCAACATCTGGTATAATTCAAAAATGAAGTAAACCGTGAATATTCAATGTTTGATTTAGGCAGGGATCACTCTTTTAAGACACCTTAGGTAAGGGGAGACCAATCACATCCAAAGAGTGGAATTGAGAAAGAAATCCACTACCTCATGTAGAGGGTGAATCCGAGGCAGCCGCCTCTGCCTCTTGTCTTGGCCTTCTACGCTCAGGAGGAGGGCCATCTCTCCGTCTTTCATACCTTCTACTCTCATTCTTTGGCCCGCCACGTTTTGGTTGATAAGTTGGGTACTTGCAAGGAATGATCTCACCGTTTATGTATTTGTCACCTAAAATTAAAGAACAATTAGTATTTAGTAATAAGATTATCAAGAGGTAGAATATTGAGCACACAATATACATATTAAAAAGTAACCTCCGTAGTCTTTGTTTTTAACATCTATATATGAGTCTGGCAGTACCCAAAGAACCCCAGGCAAACCTACAAGCAGGACGAGCATAAACAAGAGATGAAGAACCAAAATTTATCAAGTGATAAAACAGAGTTATCAAGACAAATGCGGAATTGAAACATTACCCTTGAATTTCTCAGATGTTGCTTCATCAACAGTGCACTGAAATCCAGTGTAGGTGGTGGTGCTAAAGGCATACATGTTCTTCTTCGCTTCTTCCATGCTGATAGACATGCACAAACACAATGAAACTTAAAAACAAAGAGCAAAGTCCCCAACCAAACGACCCATTTTCCATTGTTACAATCACATGCCATCCACCAATCAGAACTTTTATTCATATTAAAACTCGAGTTCTTTTAACAGGCAAGTCACAGAAGCTCATATTATAAATATACAGCACACATTAACTCTGTTTCTAAGCTGCAGCAACAATTTCTATATCATTGATTATTCGGACCTATACAGTACATATGAATTCTATGTCCATTCCAAGCTGAAACATAGCTTTCAACTTTTAAATATACTACAAACAAGGAAACACCAATGACCAAGTATTCCTAATTGCCTAATCCCATCTACCACAAACAATTTCCAAACCTTCATTCAACAGAAAACCAGAAAATTCAAACAAATCACTAGAATTTTTCTAAAATTTTATGTACACACAAAAGAAAAAGTGAGAAGCAAAGGGTAAGGTTAGAGAGAACCTTCCCAAAACAGTGGCAAGAGTATTGAGGTAAGTGTCGATCATTTGGTCACGTGTGGGTGCAGGGTCCTTAGGAAACTCCATCACAATCAGCCAATGGTTGTAATCACAACCAGGTAGCATTATCGTCTCCCTCTGCTCACTGTTGCTGCTCCTTTTCGATGAGTATTCCCCATCCAGCGCCGCCCGAATCACGCTGCTGGTTCGGGCTCGGGTTCGGGTTCGGGTCCGGATAGAATGAGGTAGGCAAAGATTCGTTACCCGGTTGAAGTTGAAGATTGGGGTTTTTGGGTGATAGGGTAGGGTTAGGGTTTTGGCGGAGAAAGAAAAGGTAACTGTTGCCATTGTAGGATTTGTGACTTGAGAGACAGAGAGAGAGAGAGAGAGAGAGACGCTGAAAATGGTGAAATTTGGAGGATAAATGATAAGGCTCGAGCACAATGATATTTCATTTGATACGGTGTCGTTATGTAGCATCAAATATCTCCCTGTGGACTGGACTAATGAATCATGGGCTAAGTCTTAACTGAATAATATTACCCCGATTGTATTGGGTCAGATTTTTAATGGGCCACTGGAGCCCGTTATTTTTCAAACAGTGAAGCTGCCTATCAACCCAGAGTGGAAGGGCTGCTACATCAGAAAGTGGGCTTTTTTGGACTTTAATTTTCGATTTATTAGTTGATTACATCATAACATATGTGATTTTTAAAAAAAAAAAAAAAAAATCTAAGTCTGTTTCGAACACTATTGTTAGAGTGTGCATGTTCTCTTGCCCTGTGTTTAGTGATATATAATTTTTGTATTTTTATGTTTGGGAATAGTTTTTAGGTAAAATATAATTAAAATATGTATTTGATAAGAGAGAATATAACACATTTTATAATTTATAATTTATATATTTAATAAATAGTGTTTAAGGGGGAAAATGTTATTTTTTATTTTTGTCAATTTGGGCTCCTCATATTAAATTTTTTTTTAATCTACTAAAAAAACATTTTTTAAACGACGAAAATATTTATGGTACAACCGTCGAACACTTTCGTGTGACGAGCCAATAAAAATGGAGCAATAACTATGATGTCCGTACGGAGAAGAGAAGAAAATATTCTTTAGTTCAAGTGTCACACTCCACATTAGTTGCTCATACAACCAATGTGAGACTATATATCTCAACACACTGCATTCGGTGCTATGTGCCAATAAAAATAGAGCAATGGCTGTGATGTCCTTACGGAGAAGAGAAGAAAATATTTTTTTTATCCAAATTTCAATTTCTAAATTGCAAACGCACATACGAAGGTTGTATAGAAAATGATCTTGTCATGAATGCCCAGCAGTGGCGGAGCCATATTGGCTCTAGCCAGTTAGCACTGTCTAAATTTTAAAGATTAGCCATGAATTACAAATAGTTAAATAATCGTAGCTAGTCACATTTCAAAAATTTGTTATTTGGCTCCACCTAAATTTTTTGCCCTAATTCCTTGGCTGGCTCTGCTATTTATTTATTTGCTTGAATTATGTAGGGGTAGAAAAAACACGGTTCTTATGTCACATGTAGTCACTTTCAATCCATCAAAGTTCTGATTAATGTGCATGGTTTAAGTAACTTACCCTAAGACTTATGATGTTGACCCAACAAGAAGAAGAGCTACGCAAATTAATAAATGAGTTTAAGATCTTGTAAGACTAAAATAAATTGATTCAATCGGAAATATACCTGACAGAATATTGAGATTAGGTGCAAGCTTACATCAGGAGTTTGTATTCAGTTATGATTTTATATTATTAGAAATAATAAATAATAAAAGGAAGAAACAGTTCAACAGTACTTGATTTGATTATTTAGAGTTTATAGGACATTCCGATGTTACGGACGAAGCAGCAGTAGCAAACAAAGAAAGCATACCCATTTTATTTTATTTTTTAATTTTGAAGAAACCAAACCCTGTCGGAAGCAGTTTATTAATTTTTATTTTTATTTTTTTTTATAACAAGTTTATTAATTTTTTAGGGGCACCTTGTTGAAGCAATCAGTAGTTCTGGTTCTGTTCTTTTTAACCCCTTCTTTTTATCAATATTGTCGTCTTTCTGTTGTTTTAATTTACTTCAGGCAAATCCACTACTATCCTCTCTCTTTTTTCTTTTCTTTTTTTAAAAATAGGCTCTCTTTTTTTTGTTTCTAGACTTATATAGGATACCTTATCAGTAAAAGAATAGGCCGGAGCAGTTTAACCTTCTTTTGTGGGGGCAATTGGAATTTAGTACTTGGATGGAACAAGCAATATTTGACTTTTCCATGACTAAGAGTTATCTCAAATTCTCTAAAAGGTTTGACTTGTTAACATAAACATACAATATTAATTAATTAACTTTATTTCGCTTCGATGATTGCGTTTAATTAGTTCATTTAACACCAATAAAGAAAATAAATTGCTTTATCTATATCTCATTAGTCAATTTGTGTTTATCCTCTGCTTTTTTTAATTATCGTTGAGGGTATAAGTTGTTTAAACTATTCCAAACTTCCTAGCCAAGAACTAGTCAATTTTAATTAAGGCTATTTTGCTCAGATATGTTGCGCGAGGAAAACTGCTAAATCTCATAAAACATTAAAACGATACCATAACTAATAAATTGTGAAAATGACTTCAGGTCTCTTCTATACAAAAAAAAAAAAAAAAAAAAAACAAATATTTGGAAGAAGGCGACAATTGGAAGGGAAATTCTAGCATTTATCTAAGAGGGGAAGAGCTTGATTTGATATTTGAAATTTTAAAAATGGAGTAGACAAATATTTTTGTACAATTTAAATTACTAATCAAACAAAATAATTTAAATAAAAGCATAATTAACAAAGATGAATTTGTTTTTTATATAAATTTATTCTGGCCATTCAACATTTTCGATTTTTATCCCAAGGTTCTCTACATGGTATCAGAGCTTGGTTAACTATAAAGTCACAAGTTCGATCCTTACTGCCCCACTTTAAAGTGGAATTAAAATAAAAACACAAAAAGGTAAACTAAAAATTGGGTCTGTGCAATATCCACGCTTCTAGTCCAACGAGCTCTTGTGTGAGGGGGCGTGTTGAGATATATAGTCTCACATTGGTTGTATAAACAACGAATGTGGTATTTATAAGACCTTGGGCACTCTCACCTTTTAAGCTAACTTTTAAGGTGGTGTATCCCAAGGTTCTTTACACGATTAATTAACACGTGTTACGGGTGCATGTTAGTGAAATGAGTTTCAAACACGAGGGAGAGAAATATGTGTTGTTTTGTAAGCTCCATTCTTTGTTGAGCAATAATGACAAACAGAAAAAAAAAAAAAAATAGAGTGCGTAGGTTCAACACATTGTTCAACTCCATTTTATCACCTTGCTAGCTTTTCAAAGTCCTTTGATCCATTAGAGTATAATTGACCCTTTATAAAAGGTAAAAAGAAAAAAAAAATTCAAAATAAAAAATATCCCGTGACGCAATAATGATCTCATAATAAATAAAATTAAATTCACCACCCTAAACATCCTTGTTTGTATTTCTTTTATGAGTTTATAATTTTTAATATAATTTATATATATATTTTTATATATGTATATAATTTTTAATTGAAGTTTCCTTATTTTATTATAAAGTTAATTAGAAAATTACAAACTAATAAAAAAAGGTTATAATGGTTTTACTAAAATCTATAATATGAGAGTATGATATTACGATAAGCCCAAGCAGTTTTAGTTTATTATAAACATCTCGTCAATGAAAAAACATACCACGGATGAATTCTGTGGTAGGAATGATAGATCAGAAAAGAATAGTTTCAGATATTTCCTATGTAAGACAATGTTTGGGTTTTAAAAGTTAATTGAATTTTGAACAAAGAAAAAAGGAATCGGGATTGCGGCAACTAGCTAGAACAGTTCACGAACAACAAAACGAAATTTATTTCAACTCAAAAAAAAATAAAAAAATTGAGGTCAAGAGGCTGCAACCCTGCAACGATTATGAAATTGCAAGAACTAAATTCAAAGGAATTTCGATATACGGTGGTGTGGGACCAAATGTTGACAAATTGATGTTTGCATCGATCAACAAGAGTCAATCATCCATGTCAACCCCACCAAGGTGGGTGAGATTTCGTTTTGTCCACAAAACCAATGATTACAGAAAGACTTGTCATTCTTTGGAATGCAAGATCACCGTGTGAAATGTGAACGCGTGACGGATTCAAATAATGCAAGTCAATTCTGATAGGGATTGCTGAAAGTGGAATCAAACCCTAAATTACGGTTATCTATACATAAATATTTTACTTTTTAAAACAAGGGAAACATATTCCTACATTGGATTAGTTGAACGACCGGGTGTGCTTGTTTACGGGGGGGATATTAGGGAGGCGATGGATACATTTATGTTCTTATTATTATTCTACTAAATTGTTGCATTTTTTTCTTCTTCCATTCTGGGACCTATATAAATCAATTTATCTACTAAAGGAACCGAATCCTCAATACAAGTTGACCTAATCACCTAAATGAATCAACGAATAATATAAGAGCTATATAACATTCGGTAGTAAGAGTTATTTATAATATTCGTTAATATAAATGTATTCTTGTAGATGGTACTCACTTTGCATTATCCATTATTGAAAGAACTTTGCAAGTATGTTAAATGTAAATTCAGCATATGGTTAATGCTTTGTGTTTTCCCCTTTTTTGAATTTTCTATATTAATATATTTTAAGTTTCCAGTATGTCTCAAGGCAAAAATTCATTTCATCTCATATGAATATTGTATATGTCTTTCAATTAAAATAAATATTAGAGAATAATATAAACCATTAAAAAAAACTCTCACCTAACAGTTTAAGCTTTTGGGTTAAATTAATTTTTTACATGATATTAGAGAGCTATAATAACTACGAGGTTAATTACGAGTTCGATTTTCACAATCAAAAAATTGGACATGTGCAAAGTATTTCAAGCCTAAAGAGCTCTTGCTTGGGGGAGTATATTAGAAAATAATATAAATCATTACAAAAACTCTCAACTAATAGTTTAACCTTTTAGATTGAATTGATTTTTTACAATAGTATTATTATATGTCCACTCTTTTTTTGGTTTTTAGTTTTTCATATAGAGCTTTACATTTTTTATGTGAGATCAATGACATAAAACACAATAAGATTAGGTTTATTTTTATTTTTATTTTTAAGTGACTACATAACTTGAAATTAATTTGTCCTTTTTTTTATAAGGGAGTTATATTTATAAACTTTTTATTTACAAACTGAACTATGTACTCTCAGAAATACACTATGTACTTCGGAGAATACATAGTATAATTTACAAAAATTTATAAAAAAGAAAATTATAAACGAATCTTCCCCTTTTTTATAATGCATCTCATTTACCATGTA